GTGACTTATAAGTTGTCTTCCAAATGTTGATAGAATTCTTTTTTGTTTGGTTGGTTTTCTGCCATTATGAACTCAAATTACTCCAAAGGAGAGAGAGAGATGGAAAAAAAAAAAAATTGTGCCTTCAGGAATGGAGAATAATCCCTGGGCCAAAGAACATTCTAGCAAAATACTCTCCTTTCCTTCAAAGGCCTGTTAATTTGTTGTTTTTTTTTTTGTTTTGTTTTGTTTTTGGTCAAGTTCTTAATATTTTTAAACAAAGTCTACTTCTTGAACAAAAAAAACCAGAATTCTTCATTATCATCTCTCGATCCTGTGTTTATTAGTGTGCCCGTTCCATCAGCTTTGTGCTGTCCCCTGTCTCAGAACCAGGTCCCTAGGTCCCTGATTGAAGAGGATAAAACTGTAGAGGTGCAAATGCAAATGCTCTTGGAGTTGCTGGGCAACACCAAAGATTTGCTTCCTTGCTTTATAAAAGGAGGGATGCTCACAATGATTAGATTTTGTAGTTTCCTTTTGTTTTTTGTTTGTTTTTTAAGACAAAGCCTTGCTCTGTCATCCAGGTTGGAGTACAGTGGTTAAGATCTCAGCTCACTGCAACCTCCCCCTCCCAAGTACAAGTGATTCCCCTGCCTCAGCCTCCCAAGTAGCTGGAATTAGAGGCGCCCCCCACCACACCTGGCTGATTTTTGTATTTTTAGTAGAGATGGGGTTTCACCATGTTGATCAGGCTGGTCTTAAACTCCTGACCTCAAGTAATCCACCCACCTCGGCCTCCCAAAGTTCTGGGATTACAGGCGTGAGCCACAGTGCCTATGTATTCTTCATATTTATAATAGCCAAACACCAAAGTGATAGCTGCCCTATGAAGATCGTAGCATAAGAAAGTTGGCAAATAAAAAGAGAAACGCAACCTCCCTGGGTTAATTTTACACATATAATATGTATAATGCATAATATATTCTTGGGCACTTTCTAAGATGGACCAAAAAAACCTATTTTAATGCACAGAGGCTGGCATAATGAGTATTAACAAAGATATTTCCTTAAAAAGATTTTGTCTCTAGATTTAAAATACCCTTAACAATTAGTTAACCCTTCATGGGATTAAAAGACCCTGAAGATGGCCCAATGCACTTGCTGCCTATAACGTTTTATTTGTTGAGATGGAGTCTTGTTCTGTCACCCAGGGTGGAGTGAAGTGGCACAATCTCGGCTCACTGCAACCTCCAACTCCTAGGTTCAAGTGATTCTCTTGCCTCAGCCTCCCGAGTAGATGGGATTATAGGCACCCACCACACTTGGCTAATTTTTGTATTTTTAGTAGAAACAGGGTTTTACCATGTTGACCAGAATGGTCTGAAACTCCTAACCTCAAGTGATCTATCTGCCTCAGCCTCCCAGAGTTTTGGGATTATAGGTGAGCCACCACACCAGCCTAACATGTTTTTAATCTGAAAAATTGATCATGTATTATATCTTAATAGAGGACTCCATTGTCTTCCATTGTGATATTGTTATTATAACTAATTAACCAGAATCATTTAGTCTAATTAACAGGTCTGATTTTTACCCTTATACTTGCTTGAAGACCTCTGCTTCAAGCTAGAATAGACAAATGCACACAGGCTGCCAAACTAACATCCTCTTCATGACCAGACACTGCCAGAGGCCAAGGTGGGCTCCAAGAGTCCTTGGTCCAGAAGGAGGTAACTTTGAGAGCGGGCTAACTAACCCAGGATCAGAGGAACAGGAATCACTCCCTAGGACTGGATGAAACTGATTTCATTGTTAATGTTCTAATTCTCTAAAGGTCTTCCTTTTTTCTTTAATCTTTCTCTAATTTCAATTTAGGAGACTGTATTCAATAAACTAGAATAAAATATTCCTAAAATGGTGCCTTCTTCCAACTAACTCTTCAGAATTCTGGGGGTGAGGGTGGGAGGGGGACTATAAAAACCTCCTAATGTAGATATGAAATAATTATCAAGGAAATGTTGAAATAATCATTCTATTGAAAACAACGTATGTAACTGGGCTTATCTACAAAACTACTTGGAATAATTGCTGAAAACTCTTCAAAGTACCTTTGCTGAGACCCTTTTCTTTTACAGTCATTAGTTCTGTAAACAGGATCTGTAAGAATCTGTCCTCCTTCTTAACAGGATATAATTAGGTAAATCAAATTTATAACCATGGCTGTGCCAGAAATGTCACATTTAAAGATGAATTTCACTTAATTAGGCATGACAAGTCTGAGAGTGAGAAACAAGGACTGCACTTCAAAAGTGGGAATGAGGCCTCCGTGGTCCTCCAGGAAACTGGACCGGACCTGCTCTACAGCTTGTGGAATTGCAGCCTTTAAGGTTATAAAACGACATCCATCTCTGCTTGCCCAGGAACACTGACAAATGAAGATTCTCCAAAAAAAGGGTACCCCCCACATATTACACATCATAGAGGCACAATCTAGTAGAGGTGAATTGGATGGTTCTAGGTTCCTGATCTCTAATATAAAAATTTTTTCACATATACACACACAGTTCTGGCCTAGAGGCTTTATCAAGTCTCCTAACAGAGTTAGATCTCAAGCTTTTCTATCACATGCTCTTATTTTAAGAATCATACAACCAGGAGGACTTTATCAATCAACACCTTATTACATACATTTTTGTACCTAAACCTGGCCAAGTTTTTTAAAAATCAAAGTAACAAAATCAGAAAACTGCTGAAACAAACTTATACAGTCAGATTGGTGCCTTAGGAGGCATGGCAATGAGAAAACAGACTGACACCTGGCCCTGCTGCCATTCTGCCATTTTATTCTTTTCTTCTCTTTTGAGTCAGAGTCTCACTGTCACCTAGGCTGGAGTGTAGTGGCACAATCTCAGCTCACTGTAGCCTCAACCTCCTGGGTTCAAGCAATCCTCCCACCTCAGCCTCCCGAGTAGCCGGGATTACAGGCACGCACCATTACTCCCAGCTAGTTTTTGTATTTTTTGTAGAGATGGGGTTTTGCCATGTTGCTGGTCTGGAACTCCTGAGCTCAAGTGATTGGCCCGCCTCAGCCTCACAAAGTGCTAGGATTACACGCACAAGCCACCGAGACCGGCCTGCCGTTTGATTCTTACTATCATACCCATACATTGTGCCACAAAAATAGACAAGGTAAAACATTTTGCACCCAGGGATAAAGGATTCAAAGACAATGAAGATAAATGAATAAATGATAAAAAACAAAAAAAGCAAATAACAAATACAGCCCTTCTCAAGGTGGCACACAGCTGTAATCCAGCTACTTGGGAAGCTGAGGAGGTGGAGGCTGCAGTGATCCAAGATCATGATACTGCACTCCAGCCTGGGCAATAGAGTGAGACTTTGTCTCAAAAAAAAAAAAAAAAAGCCATTCTAAGTAGTATTAGTCCGAAAAACAGAGAAAACCTGGTGAGTTCTGTAAATTACAAACTCCACAGCAAAAACCAATTTTATCCCTGACTTTTCCAGTGCTCATATTGGCAAACACGTGACAATGCTCACACAGATGATCGTCGTCATGTGAAAAAACTGCTGCTTCCCCTCTGAACAGATGAACTGAAATCTTGGTAATCTTTGACTTGTTTTTTAAAATACCAATGGTATTTTTATTTGGTGAGCCAGTCTTTCTGATGTCTACACCCTCCTGCACAATTTTTCTTTTTATTTTTTGAAACAGTTTCACTCTTGTTGCCCAGGCTGGAGTGCAATCTCAGCTCACTGCAACCGCCACTCTCAGGTTCAAGTTATTCTCCTGACTCAGCCTCCCAAGTACCTGGGGTTACAGATGCCCACCACCACGACCAGCTAAATTTTTTTTTTTTAAGACGGAGTCTTGCTCTGTCACCAGGCTGGAGTGCAGTGATGGGACCTCGGCTCACTGCAACCTCTGCTTGCTGCTACCTCTGACTCCCTGGTTCAAGGGATTCTCCTGCCTCAGACTCCTGAGAAGCAGGCATGCACCACCACACCCAGCTAATTTTTCTATTTTTAGTAGAGACAGGGTTTCACCACGTTGGCCAGGATGGTCTCCATCTCCTGACCTCATGATCCACCCATCTCGGCGTCCTTAAGTGCTGGAATTACAGGCGTGAGCAACCAAGCCCAGCCTAATTTTTGTATTTTTAATAGAGATGGGGTTTTGCCATGTTGGCCAGGCTGGTTTCGAACTTCTGACTTCAGGTGATCCACTCACCTAGGCCTCCCAAAGTGTTGGGATTAAAGGCGTGAGCCACCGTGCTCAGCCACAAGCTTTTCTTAAAGCATTTATAGCTTTGAATCTCCCTTTCACACACTCAACTAGATTGTATGCCCATGAAGGCAGAGATTTTTGTCTGTTTTGTTCCTGGCTGTATCCTCAACACCTAGAATAGTGTCTGGCATAGAGTATAAGTTTGTTAATATGTGTTAAATAGATGAATCGTATGCTCTGTAAAAACCATTTATATTTATTCCAAAATATTTAATAACTGCTTATTATGTGCTACAAACTGGGGAAGTGGAAATGTAGGAGACTGAGCTCTTGCCTTCAAGAACTCCCAGCAGATTGAGTGAGGTGGGCAGATAAACAGACATGGGTGTGACACCTACCACGGCTATGATGGACATGCACAGGACCTTGTGGAGACACAGAGGTCAGGTCCCTTACCCAGCTAGAGCAATCACGGAGGGCTTCCTGGAGGAAGCTAGACTGAGAGAGGACAAGGGGATGGCCAAAGAAACAGGGAAAAGCAGGAGGGTGTCTCTGGTAAAGGACACAGCAATGTGCAAAGACAGAGATGAGAAACGGTGGGGGCAGCGTGCAGTAACAAGAGCCGAGTCCCATGAGGTCCGCAAGGCCCAAGATGCCAAGGGCAACAGGCACCTGGAGAAGGTACTTGCCCCTCCTTACACTGGCTCTATGTGCCAGGCCATAGGTGCTGAGATGAGTTGGGCTGCAGCAGGGCAGCAGCAGGCAGGCCACTCACCTGGTGTGCTGCTGGAGGTGGGAGAGCTGCCGGAAGGACTTATCACAGTAGGAGCAGTGGTAGGGCTTGACACCCAGGTGGATACGCAGGTGCTGGGCCAGGTAGGAGGCGTTGGCAAAGGACTTAGAGCAGTGCGGGCACTTGTGGGGCTTGGCCTCTGTGTGCGACTTGGAGTGGATCTGCATCTCCGACTTGGTGAAAAAGGTCAGCGGGCATACCTTACACCTGCGGGGCAAGAGGCAGGTTCACAGCTGGGACAATCCCCCAGTCTGTCCATCTCAGGGAGGCCTTCTACATCAGAGACCTTGCACCTGGGACAGGTCTTTCCTGTGAGGAGCCCAAGAAGCACAGGCCCACCTGGGAAAGACAGGGGACAGTCTCCCAGCCTGGGTACCCTTAAATCTAGAGGAGGAAGCTCTCACCTGGGGGAACATTTACAGAGCCTAGGGCACAGGGTTACACCTCATAGGGAAGACAGGCCTGACTCTGTGAGGGTTTGCCCGGGGCCACATCCCATGGTTCAGGGGAGGAAGCTCTAATGGGTGAAGTAGTTCTCAACCAGGCTGCACATTAGAATCACCTGGGGAGCTTCCAAGAACTACCCGTGCCTGCCCCACCCCCCATGCCCTCCATACTCAACAAATAAACTCAGAATTCCTGGAGGTAAAGCCCTGGCATCCACATTTTCTGAAAGCTCTTCAGGTGAATCTTTTTCTTTCCTTCTTTCTTGAGACAGAGTTTTACTCTGTCGCTCAGGCTGGAGTGTAGTGGCCAATCTTGGCTCACTGTAGCCTCTGCCTCCCAAGTTCAAGTGATTCTCCTGCCTCAGCCTCCTGAGTAGCTGGGATTACAGAGGTGCACCACCACACCCAGCTAACTTTTGTATTTTTTGTAGAGACAAGGTTTCACCACACTGGCCAAGCTGGTCTCAAACTCCTGACTGCAGGTGATCCACCCACCCTGGCCTCCCAAAGTGCTGAGATTACAGGCAGAAGCCACAGTGCACAGCCAAGAGACAGGTGATTCAAAGGTGGCCAGGGTTGACACTACACTGCTTAAAGGGAAGAGGAAATTGACTCTCACAACCCGAGGCTGTGGGGGGTGGCTGCCAGTCACAGGCCACACCTAAGGGGCCAAGGCTCTGTTCTCTCCAGGAGCCCTCCCTGAACCGGGACTTCGGATGTGGGCGGGGCTGTCCACAAGGCCCCGCCCCTCTGGACACTGGCCTTCCCCCTACCCCACTCGGCCCAAGGTGTCCTGTTTCAGCCCCGCTGCTGGGCTCCTGGGGCAGCCCTGGCTCAAGCCCCAGCCCCAAGCCCACTTGGACCCCGTCCCGCCTGAAACCCCACCTGTACGTCTTGCCCTCCTTGGCAGTCTCGCCCGAGGCCAGGATGGGGTAGGGGACTACTAGGACAGGCGGACCCCCCGGGTTCTCTGCCTTGATCTTTTTGCGGCCGCGTTCGGACTTGGGGGGGCCAAGCAGGCCATGGCCCTGGATTGTCTTGATGGAGTCCAGGAGAGGGGGGCTGGTGATCCCTGAGATGAGGGTGGGGGACGAGGCGATGAGGCGGCTCTGGCTGGTGGTGGTGGGTGTGGACGGGGTGCTGGTACCCGTGCCCGTGCCCGCGCTCGACTCAGAAGTGCTCACAGCCGGGGTCCGGGTGGACAGCCCCAGACCTGCGAAGACATGTGGGTGGGGGCAGGGATGAGGGGAGCTGCAGAGGCCAGCTCGGCCTGGCCCGCCCACCCAGCTATGTGATTTTGGCAGGCCAGCATCCCCTTAATGAACATTCGTAAGTTACTACACAGGGGCAACTAAATGAGAGCTTATGCATGTGTAAGATGCCTTAGATACCTTAAGATTAAATTGAGTTAGATAACAGCAGCCCTTTGGAAAAATTCAAACCACAGAGAAAGACCAAGGCACAAAGAAGTTCACTACTGTCTTATTTATAATAATAACAGCAAAATTTTAAAAAATTTTTTAAAAAATATGCAACCTTAGGAAGGGGTTTGGTAAACAGCGATTAATTGCCTCTACTGAACTGCCCATTAAAAAGAAGGCTTTGTTTGTTGAAGCAAACTATATATGTATGCACACAAAAAATAAGTAGGAGAGAATGTGCCAAAATGTGATGTGGATGGTATACTAGGAGTACTAAAAATAAAAACAAAAAAGCTTAACTGTACTTTGATTCTTTGACAATGAGCTTTTAAAAAACTTTTGTAATAAAAGTTATTCTTTTAAAAATGAGGGGACTAGAAACATTTACATTATCGGCTGAAACAGATGAAAATGATATCTATTGTGTAGTTCTATTTTTAAAAAAAAACGAAAAAAGAAACTAAAGATCTGTGCATTGAAAAAGATAATGTCAAGTCAGCAGGAGAATGTTTTGTATCATACACGGGTGGTGGGAGTGTACATTTGCAAAGCCTTAATGGAAGGTAGTCTGGCAACAGCCATTACAATTTTAAACATGGCCAAGTATGGTGGCTCACACTTGTAATCACAGCACTTTCAGAGGCCAAGGTAGGAGGAGCACGTGAGCTCAGGAGTTGAAGACCAGCCTGGGCAATGTGGCAAAACCCAAAACCCTGTCTCTAAAAAAATACGAAAGTCAGCTGGGTGTGGTGGTGTGTGCCTGTAGTCCCAGCTACCCAGGAGGCTGGGGTGGGAGGATCACTTGAACCCAGGAGGTCGAGGCTTCACAAAGCCATGATCACGCCACTGCACTCCAGCCTGGGTAACAGAGCAAGGCCCTCTCTCTTTAAAAAATAATAATTAATTTAAAAATTTTTAATATACATAACTTTTGACCAAGCAATTCTACTTCCAGAAATCTAAAATAAAGAAACATTCCCACATGAACACAGAGATGTGTGTACATGGGCCTTCCATACAAATCGGTGATCAGACAGAACTGGACACAACCTGTTTGTTCTCAGCATGAGCTCTGTAAGCAGCTGTGGTCCACTCTCATCAGGGGAACTGCACGGCCACTAAAACAAGCTCGATGTGATGCAGTGACAGGGAGAGAAGCAAATCAGACATACAAGGCATCTATTCTAAAGAACGCACACTCAAACTACATACATAGATATGGACAAGATACATGTGCATGTAAACGCACAGGAATAGATCTGAGAAGAGACACATCAAACTGCTAATTGTGGTTCTCTCTAGGGAAAGAGAAGTTTTTTTTGGTAAAAGGAGATTTTCGTTCTTTGTCTACCTGATTCTATATTATTTGAATCTTTTACCTGGTGAATTCATCCATTTTTAACATCTGTGATTAAAGGACAAAATAAAATAAATTATAAACATATAAAAATTCTAACAGTAGGATTAAGGCTTTTTTTCTCTCTTCAGCTTGTCGGCAATTTCTAAATTTTCTATAATGACTATGTATTACCATTATAATAAAAAGTGGAATATATGTTTATGACAGAAAGGTGAGTAGAAAAAGCAAGTTAAATCATAGGTACAGCCCTACCACAAGCTCAGCAAAACAAACATGAATATTGAAAAACAAAAAATATGGCAAAGGAAGGAAATGGACCAAGAGCCTCTCTGAGCTGCTGGGTTGAGAGCTAGGGATTATGAATGATTTTTTTTGTTGCTAGTTTCTCTTTTTTCCAAATTTTCCTTAATATGCTTATATTACTTTTTTAATATTACTTTTATAATGGAAAAAATAAATGTAATAAAATCATAATAACAGGGGATGTGCAGAGTGCAGTTGGGGCCTGGAGAGGTTTGCCAGGCCCTGTAATTCTTGGGTGACTCTGGGAAAAGCAAGGAGAGACAGAAAGAGGCAGAGTGCCTAGCTGGCAGCAAGGATGACAGGGGAGGAACAAAGCCCAGCCACTGTGGTCTCCCAAGAAAGCCTAGATAACCAGGCTCCAAGGAGGGCCTCTGGCGGCTCCAGCCCCTTGTCATTACCTCCAGGATGTCCCTCTAGCAATCCAGCCTCAACCTACCCAAGACTAAGCTCACATCTTTCCCCAGCCCTGTTCCTCCTCCAGGGATTCCCTCATAGGGGCAGTGCCCTGGGAGTCTCCCTCACCTCCTCCCTTCCCTCACCCTCCTACATCTGTCCTCTCTTCTCCCACAATGTATCTCAGATCTGTCCACCTCTCTCCATTCCCACTACCACTGCCTTGCCCAGGCCACCACACTCCTGACAGTCTCCCTGCTGGCATGCTTATCCATGCTTATCCCCTGACAGCCCGGTCTCCACCTTGCAGCCAGACTTGGTTTTCTCAACCCATCTCTGAGTGTTTCCTCCCTTACTTAAAAACTTTCAATGGTTCCCCACTGCCCAAGGGTCAAGTCCAAACCACTTTGTGGCCCACAGGACCATTCTTAATCTGGTGCCCACTCCTCAAGCCTCAGCAGAACTGAGCACTGAAACAGAGTAAAGACATGGGCTTTGGAGCCACACTGCCAGCTTCTGCCTCTTACTAGCTGTAAACTGTGGCTGCACGTGGCTTTAGCTTTCTCTGCCTCAGTTTTCTCATCTGTTGAATGGAGACATTAAGGTGAACTGCATGAAACTGCTGTTTGTCTAAGTCAAAACAGTCCAGTGTTCCACCTAATACCAACAGCACCTCACAGGCTGCTGGAAGTACAATGAACACTGATGAACAGTCACCAGTGCTCGACTGGGGCTAGCTGCCATCATCACCATCATCACCACCATCTTCCCGGCCTTCCCACCCCAGGCGGTATATCCTTCTCTTGCTTCCTACACACATACTCCTTTGGCATGTGCGGTTTCCACTTCCTGTCCCAGTTCCCTAGTTTGCAGCCAACCTTTCCTTGCGTTTTGGCTCCTCCTAGGAAGTCTCTTTCCCCCAAATCTGGTCTGGTCGTTCTCTGGAGTCCCAAAGAATCTTGGGATTTCCAGAGTTCTCTATGTGAACTTGACTTTCCTGGTAAGCACTAGGGGGCAGTCATCCACTCCTGTCGTGTCCACTGTGGGGTGGAGTCTTTCCAGTACGGGACCAGCCCCACCACCCAAAGCTTTGTGCCCTACCCTCAAGCCCTGCCCGCCCTGCTCTCACCTACGGGGGTCCCATCCTCACCAAGCGCCCCTCTAACCCGCCTCCTTGGGCCCAGTCCTCGCAGGCCCCGCCCACTCGCCCCGGCCCCCGCCCGCGCCGCCTACCTGTGACAGTGCTGGTGGCCGGCCGCGCATGCAGCGCCACGTCGGGCTGTGGCACTGCCTGCGGATGCAGCCCCGGCACCTGCTGCAGCTTGGGCAGCGACATAACGGCCTGGCTGCTCTCAGCGGGCGCCGGCGGCACTAGCAGCGGCTGCTGCGACGAGGCCGAGGTGGGCGGCAGGTGAGGCGGCCTGATCTTCTCGGCCATCAGCTGCTCCTTGATTTTGTTAATCAGGACCAGGTTATCCAGCTGCGGGCGGAAGCGGACGGGCTGAGGGGGTCTGGCCTGCGCCCCGAGCCTTCCCCAGGCCCGCTGGTCCACCCGCGAGCCACGAGCTCCTCACCCCTCGCCCCGCAGGCCACAGCCAAAACCCAAGGCAAAGCGAAGCAGCTCCAGGGAGAGTAGGGCAGCCAGAGGGGCGACGTCAGTCTTACCTGGCTCGGCATGGTGGGAGGAGGGGGCCAGAAGTAGGGGTTGTTAAATCGAGGCTCGGCCATCCTGCGGGAAGAGAGCAACTGTCACCGGGAAGGGAGCTCTCCCCACGCCTCGGGCAAGCACCCCTCAACTTCACCCACTCAAGTCGGGGCCAATGTCTGGGATCCATGTCTCCATGGGTCCCTCAGCCTCAACACAGCAGGCCTCCCACCAGGCCCAGGGAGCCACATCTCCAGGCTGAAAAACCTAGAATTCACCCCCCACTTAGTGGGCCCCAGAGGGCAAAGGTCACATCCAAACCTGAGTACACTCATCCAGCTCCCCGCTCCCATTACCCCAATGCTGGCTGACCAATCTCCATCCCCCAGGAGGGCCCCAGGTTACTGTGCCAACCCTGTGGGTTCAACACAGAAGGTTCCCCCCAAGTCCAGAGACAAACTGGGGCATCCTGGAGCAAATCTGCCCATCCCTGATCCCTGCCCTTCTGCCCCTGACCCCTTGAGTACAGACATCCTTCTAAAACTCTGGGGGCAACATGGGGTCACCAGATACACCCTTTCTGAAGGGCAGTTTGGCAGGACAATTTACAGTGCCCCAAACTGATTTGACTCAAATTGTATTTCTGGAAAGTTATCTTCAAGAAACACGCCACACCACGTGTGGTTGTTCAATGCCACGTGCAACATCTGACCTACAAGGATGTGCATGAGAATGCTGTAGTTACAGAGGGGTGGGGTTGGAGAGGCCTGAAGCGAGGGCAGTCTGGGCTCTCTGGTAAAAGTGTGGGACAAACTGTCTGGTGGCCCTCACCTCTGGCAAGTTCCATGGCAGGCCTGTGCGGTTAGAAGGCCTTGTCAACCAGGACAGTATGAAGGATGGGCCTTCAGGGCTATCTCAGTCTTCCAGAAGGTTTGTCTTCCTGCGACCCTAGAGTAAGTCAAGAAGTGACTTACAGGGACCATGCCTCACAGAGGGTTTCCAGCAAGCCTTGCTCCCTGTCAAGTTTCTCTTATCTCTCTCTTACAGAAAACACTTGCCTAACTGGTATTGTTGCTTAAATGTGATTGTTTATTTTGACAGGAAAGACCAAAATTAAGTGTTTTTAACCTCTTTTCCTGGTCCTATGAGCTTGCGAAGCCCCTACTGGAATGGTGGCTATAGGGTTTCGGGAGAAAGCCCTCAATGAGGACACAATCTAATCTCATATTTTAAGAAAGAAATGTAGGTGAATTCTCTCTTGTGATCTTTACTTGAAGCACAAGAGGTAGTATTATACCATTTTATCGGTGAAGAAACTGAGGCTCAGAGAGAGGGAAAGGAGAAGACCTGTCTAGGGCCACAAGGCGAAGGTGCCACAGTCAAAACTAGAAATCAGATTTGCTCAAGCTGGTTCCTCTGGGGAATTTGCTTTGCAAACTCTAGTCTTTGGTAGAGCAAATGCCCACATGCAAATGGCTCAATACCTATATCCAAACGTCCTTACCCCTCACTCCCAGCCTGAGGGCCAGTTTGAGTCAGAGCACCCTCCTGAGGTGGCTGGGGCAGCTCCTGCCCTCTATCGGCTCTCCTGCTCCACCATCCACAGGCACCAAGATGCTCTTCCCTCTGCCCACCCATCCCTTAACAGCCCAACACAAGTACTTCCTGCCTGGAGTTCTCCCTGACTGCTCCAGACCCCTGGGACTTCTCCTTTCCCAGAACAAACTCAAAACAATAATTACAGTGAGGAGGCTGCAGATTACCAAGTGCCTCTCTTGTGCCAGACACAATGACGCTGAAAGGCAGGTAGGCACTGTTATCATCCCCATTTTACAACTCAGGAAACGGAATTCAGAGAGGTGGAGTGACTCGCTCAAGGTCACACAGCAAGTAAGCAGAGAGCTGAGATTCCCGCCCTAATCTGCCTGACTCCGAAGTCCAGCTCCTCAGTCCCTTAGCCATTCAGGGGAACGACAAAGCATCCCGACCACAGGCTTGCGAATAAGCCCTACCTTAGGATGACACGGCTGCGACCTCACAGGCAAGCACTCACTCACACAGCAGTGTACAGACCTGTCCCAACCCTGCTGTTGTCCACAGGGGGAAATGTGGAGGGGACTGAGCTGTAAAGCCAGGGTAAGGAGACTCCACGGCTAAGGGCAGGGAGCTGGGGGACTTAACCAAAGGAGCATGGGAATTGAATACACCTGTCTTGTTCATCTGGGTCTCCCCAGCACCCAGGCCCAGAGGTTATCAATAATGTGAGTTGCATAATGGTTGGATACACCTGTCTCATTCATCTGGGTCTCCCCAGCACCCAAGCCCAGAGATTATCAATAATGTGAGTTGCATCATGGAATGAATAAATGAAGTAATAATAATCAGAATGATTTTAAAGACAATCCCATACAATTATCTATCCCTGCTCATAGTTTACAAAGCTCTTCAGTGCCTACCGGCATTCTCATCAGAACCCCAGGAGGATGGCAAGCAAGGAAGAAGTTTCACCCCCATTTCACAGAGAAAGAAACGAGGGCACCAGGAGGGAGGCATTTTGCTCAGGCCACATGCATGAAAAACAGGAAGCAGCACTGTGCTGCGATGCTGGGTGCTAGCTCTCTAAGCCTCAGGTTTCCTCATCTATAAAATGGGGTGAAACAGGCTACCCTGCTTCACTCCTGCACTGGCCCAGGACTCTGCCCACTGTGCTTCGCCGCTTCTCAGACAGTTCTGGAAGATCCATTTTTACCTCCTCTTCAGTTCAGTTCAATGCCAAGTTCAGAGCTCACCACCCCGATCAGGGAGCTATGGGAAGAGGGGGCCTTGCCCAGGGTACCATAGCTGGGATACAGCATTCTCTCTTCCACCTATCAGACCCCTGGTCAGGCAGGGGCCACCCCTCACCCTTACTGGGCCCCAGATCACTTAATCTGATCAGCACCACCTCTGCCTGATTTCTCTGCATCCTTTTCTGGCTGGTTCTAAGTAATTTAATGATTCAGTCAGTGACCCTAGTCCTGGTGTCTACCTACTGTGTCAGGCACAGGGAAGGCAGGGCACGGGCTGAACATTTCCTGAGCTCTTCCTGCATGTCAGACACATTGCTAGGTGCTCATCAACAGCATCTCATGTGAGACCCCCAACAGGCCTCTGAGGTAGGTATCCCCTGTGCAGCCCTGGGACCTGTATGAGAGGGTACAGCTGTGGCAAGAGGTGAGGTGGGGGGAAGGTGGCCAAGACCAAGCCAAGCCACTCAGACCCTGCCTAAGGGAAGGGCTTGAAGCCAGAAAGAGACATGGTCAGATTTGTGTTCAGGACAGAGGGACAAGGCAGAAGGACATTTCTGGAAGAGGTCACAGCTTGAGCAAAGGCGTGGAGATGTGGAAGCACAAGGCAGGCTTGGGACAGTGAACAGCACCCAGGGGCACCAAAGACAGCTGCAGCACAGAGAGGTGGTGAGACGCAGGGCACTGAATGCCACACTAAGATCTTGGGTTAGAATGCTGATGGTGAAAAGGCATCAGGAAATATGATGGACCAGGGGAGCAGTGAAGCAGAGGGAATTATCTGAGGATCTGGTGAGGGCTGGGGGTGGAGAAAGAGGAGCCTCCCTGGGATTGAGTGTGCATGCCAGGATGGGCAGAGGAGACACGCTGGTGGCCAGGCCTCAAGCATGACAAAAGCCAAGACTTTCTACTGTGAGCCCCAAGACACAGGGCTGATCCTTGCAGGGGAGCAAATGTCATTTTGTTTCTCTTATTCTAAAAGGTGAAAAACATTAGATGGGCGAATGAATTAAACACTCTGCTGCTGATGGCAGCTGGCCCACCTATCCATCTATCCAACCATTCAGACTAGACAAATCCTCTGGGCCAAACTGGGACCAGTACTGGGGAACCTGAGCCAAATGGAAAGAACCCTGCCCTCTCCAGCCCCAAGCTAAGTGGAGGAAGCAGACAAGTGACCCACAAGCTTCTGCAAAGAACTCCCACCTATGGGACCTACCACACACCACCAGTGACCTCCCTGAGGTCAAAGCTTATGGCCACCTTCCAGTCCTGTCCTCCACAGCCTCCCTGCCACCTGGCCCCTTGGATAAGGCCTACGTGCCATGACACCTTGGTTCCTCTTTCTCTGCCTCCTTTAACACCGTTAGCCTCTCTTCCCCACCAATGCAGCTCCTCAGGATGGAGTGGGAGCCCCCTCTCTTCCACCAGCCTCAGTTCCTGGGTGGCCCACCCGCTCTAGAATCTAAATACCTGCCAAGCCCAAAGTCCCCACCTCCAGCCAGGCCTCTCCCTGACAGGCCGATTCCTGGGCTGTTCCTACTCCACAGGCCTGAGCTGGACTTGATCTTCCCCTGTGCCATGCACCTCATCTAGACATCCCGAACTCACAGCAAGATATCCCCATCTGCCCAGATGCTCCTGCAGAGACACACAGTGATCTGCCACAATCACCCTCCCTCCCCACTCATCTCAGCCATGTCCTCAGGATTCCACTTCCAAAATCTCTCTCAAGCCCACCCACTCTTCTCCAACAGTCCCAGCCACTGTCATCTCACCTGGACTGTGGAACAGCCTGCTCTGTTTGCAGCCCAACATACCCACGTTCCAATCATGACTCCAACTCACCAGCTGTGTGATCTTGGGCAAGGCATTTGCTCCTGTCCCCCCATGTAAGGGATTAGCAACCCAGAGCCAGGGACCTGACCCAGCCTGGAGAGGACCAGGGAGAACTTCCCAGGGGGGAGGTGATGCCTGCCTTGGGTCTTAAAGGATGAGTGGGAGTTAGCCAGGCAGAGAAGGGGTGAGAGCATTCCCAGCAGAAGCAACAGCTTGAGCAAAGGCCCCCAGGCAAGGAGCCCAACAGTGTGTGAGGGAGCCACGAGCATCCGGTGTTGCCTGACAGGAGATAAAGCTGGGGCCAGATCTAAAAGGCTGCCCCCTGATTCCTAGGCCTGGAGGCTGGACTTGAAGCAGTGGGTGATGGGACAGTATCTGTGGTTGAGAAAGGCCCCTCTGAGTGCCCAGTGTAGAGGGGACTAGAAAGGCCAGGAGAAGAGGCAGCAGGAGCAGAGAGACAGGGGCTGCACCTGAGCCAGGGAGGAGAGCGGCCAAAGAGGCCTGGAGCTGGAGGCCGATGAAGCATGCAAGGGGCCCCCCACAGTGGAGCCCAGGAGGCCCAATGGATACCAATGCTGACAAATACAGCCACAGGAACATGCGGACAGACAGCACCAAACCCAGACACACATGACAGATACAGACCTGTGGCCCCAAACATGGACTGATGGGGACCCAGCAGCTGCCGTGAGGAGGAAGCCACAGCCACCACGACACGGGAGGCTGCTACAGGAGGGTAAGCACACACCTCCCCCAAGGCAGACCCGGAGGGTGGCAGAGGGGGTACTCAGGGAAGGTGGGACAAACACAATGCTTTAATCCCCCAAAGAACAAACCCTCATTGACAGAGTGCAACCTGGAATCACAGGCTCCTTACCTAGAGTGTCCTTTCCCACTTGGTGAACTTCTACTCATCCTTCCAGACCCAGCTCAAGTGTTCCCTCTTCTACGGAGCTTTCCCTGAACCCCCAGCCAGTCACTTCCTCTGTGTTCCCAACAGCACCTTGTATATGGGAATAACAATAACAATAATAACAATAATAGTAATAAAGTGCCAGCTACCATTGATTTCAACATCTGTGTTGAGTATGTTATGATTCATGTCACTGAATTTTCCCAATGACTCTGTGAGATACACATGTAACAGAATAAAGTGCAGCTCAGAGAGATTGACCAACTTGCCCCAAGTCACACAGCTCGTAAGTGATGGAGTTAGGATGCCACCCAGATCTGACCCAGCACTATAGGGCCAACTGCACTCCAGTGCAGTTATATTTTCCTGGGTGTCCGCCCCACTGGACTTCAAACTCTTCACAAGTAGGTTCATTTCTGCAGGCCTCTAGCCCAAGGTGGCCACTTCCAATGGACTGGGAACTGTACCAGGATATTTTACAGCCATTATTTTACTCTCATAATAGACCTATTGTACCGATGAGGAAACTGAGGTCCGGAGAGGTTGAGCAAGTTGCCTAAGGTCACAGAGCTGAGTCTGAACTTGAAACCAGGTCTATCACCTTGTCCCAAAAGGGTATCTCTGAGGCCAGCCCAGCAAGCTCCACGGAGGGGAATTAAGTGGGGGCTACTGAGGAAGGGGTACATCAGGTGTCAGGCCCTGCCACCCGGAGACATTCAGACGTGGACAAATGGACACAAAGAGGACAGGCAGTCCAGGAAAGGGTGTTGCGAGCCTCACCCACTGCAAGGCAGAGGGGTTCAGTAAAGCAACTTACAGCCCAACCCACAGACATTAAAAAATGAGATTTGGCTGGGCAAGGTTCGTGTCTGTAATCCCAGCACTTTGGGAGGCCAAGGCAGGAGAATCGCATAAGCCCAGGGGTTTGAGGCTGCAGCGAGCCATGATCACACCACTACACCCCAGCCTTAGTGACTTTTCGAGAACCCATCTTTAAAAAGAAGAGATTTGCCCAGACCCCATGGCCACATGGGAACTAGCTCCTCACAAAGCAAATGCGAGAGAGCAGGACTCCAAACTGTCCGGACACTATTACAAAGGAGGCAGAAATAAAAACCAGCGTCAGAAAAAGCAAGCTTCAGGGAGCCACACCCAGAGGGAGGCTGGGAGCAAGGCGGGAGGCAGCTGGGGCCAATCTTGGTCTTTGTTTCTCTGATTTCCAAATTCTCGGTAATGCCGTTCAGTTGCTTAATGAAAACAATAAATTCATTCTTAAAAAATGAAATAAAGTAGTTGGGCAGTGCGGGCAACAGATAGAGGATCCAGAGGCATGGGGCAGGGGGAGGTCAGGGTCAGCTGCTGGTGGGCAGGCAGCTGACTGCTGCATGCCAGGCCCTGCACAGCCCCCAGCCTCAAAGCACGCACATGGAGAGTGGGTGTCAGGAAGAGCTACCTGGAAGAGGTGGGATTCAATCTGCACCTTGATGCTGGTTAGGATCCTCCAGGGTGGGGGAGAAGAAGGTCTACAACACCTCCCTGACCCTGATCCAGGCCCCCTTCACCTCTGGCCTCAGCTATTGTAAGAGCCTCCTCACAGGTTTCCCCACCCCCGCCCTCATCCTCCACTCCATTACTGCAGTCACTGTCATTTTAATAAAATAGAAAATCACAACCCTGACCTTCTAAAAACCCTCCATAGCTCCCTACTTTCCTCCAGACATGTGTGGCCCCTGCCGATCTCTCTGGCTATTTCACTTTGTACTGCCCAGGCAGACTGACAGTCGCCCCTTTCCTCCAGGGCCCCAAGTCCCTTCTCACCTTCTCACCTTCCGCAGGCTGCATCCTGTCCCTGGTGCTCTCTGCCCTCCCCATTTCACTGGTGAATTCCAGTGCATCCCTCAGGGCCCAGCTTACAGGCCACCTCTTCCTGGAAGCAATCAGGGACTGCTCTGCCTCCATGCCTGTGCTGAACTGTGTGCTCTCCTTTCTGCTCCCTTTGTACCCTACATTTCTAACAGCAGAACACCTCTCACCCCATGTTCTGTCTGTTTGCTCATCCATCTCTGCTGCTGGACATGCACTCTGTTGGGGAGGGATCATGGCTGAATTATTTATCTTTTAAGCCCCAAAGAGTATCAGATAAAGGTTTGGATTAACTAATCAATTACTTAATAATCAGGGTGGGGGGGCTGAAAGGGCTGTGGTCTGGTAGAAGGAAGCCCCCTCCCCCTCCTCCGAGTCCCCTCCACCCACTTAGTACTGTGTTGTCCTCTGTGTTATACTGTCCCCTCTTTCCTGTATCTAAGTCCTGTCTTCCTAATTGATCCAAGGGGCTATGTGTATTCTCTAAAGACTAGCTGACCCAAAAAGGATGTTAACAGATAATAAACACAGAAGATGGTTCAGCTTCCCTAGCAGTGAAAATTCAATGAGCTTCACCTGTCAAAATAGCAACAAGAAGCAAGAAAATGCTAACACCTAATACTGATGAGGGTATGGTGAAATTGGCATGCCATGTATTATTGGTGGGAGTGTAAATTCTAACGATCATTCCTGAAAACAATCTGGCATGAATTAGTCAAGAGCTCTAAAAATGTCCAAACTTCCTAGCCTAGTGATCCCATTCTTGGTCATCCATCCCTAGAAAATAACCCAAATATAGAAAAAGTTACATGCACAAAGCTGTTTGCGTCAGTGGTTTTGTTTTTCTTTTTTTTTAACAGCAAAAACCTGGAACAGCCAAAATTTTAATCAGGTTCTGTGTAAGTCATGTTACTTGGTGACATAGTCTATGGTTGTTGATAACAGTCAATATTACTGGCTTTGCAGTGACTCATTTAACACCCACATCGGCCTATCAGGAACTGAAGGTACAGAGAGATCAGGAAATTTGCCCAAAGTCAAGCAGTTATGTGCAGGATTTTAATCCAGATAATCGGGCCCTAAAGTCCATACTGACACTGGATCCATTAAAAGGAAGGATTGAAACCACTCTGCAGTCACTTAAAAAACACTCGTGATACACAATAGTCAGAGGGCAAAGGGGAAGAGTTTTAAAAACTGCATGTATAGACAGAGCAATGACATCTATATGAAAACTGGGTGCTGAGAGAAAAGAGGGAAAGAATGTTAGCATTTCACACCAAAATGCTAACAGGTGTGATGTTTCTGGCTTGGGCAGGCGCAGAGATGGGGTGGGTTTTTATTTATTTCATATCCCTGTTTCCCAATTTTTCTGCATGTTACAGCTGATGGGGGGACAGGCCTGGAAGAGTACTGTCATGTGACTTTTTAAGGGAATATTTTTAATAAAACCAAAAGTTAAGCTTTGGCAAAGCAAGACACCCCAAACCCCAGCCCACATCCCCAGAGAGGATTCTGGCCTCAGGCCCTGCAAGTTTACCCAGAAGAGTAGGGCTCAGGGAGGGACAGGGGCCTGATCAAAATCCCATAGCAAACCTCCAGTCCCACCCATGACCCCAGCCAGGAGAACAGTCAGGCTGAGGGACAGCCTGCCCAGGGCACTAAGTCTACTGCTTAAAATCCTTCTTGGGTTCCCATTACTTTTGGAGTCCAGTTCAAACTCCACAGCCTGATGCTCGGGCTTTTGCCAAGAAGGTCCCCTGGCCATGCTCATCTCACCAGGCATGCCCCTAGGCATCCATCTCTCCAGCATCAGGGCCCATAGAACAAGGTGCTCTGATGTGCCATGCTGTTGCATAGGCTGAGCCCCTCCATCTGGGACCCATACCACCCAACTGGAACCCTGCCCTCAAAACTCAGCTCAGCTGGTACTGCCTTGAGGAACTGTCTGGTTATCTGGTTGTCTGTCCAGTCCCCGAAGTAGGCTGTGGGCTCCCCAAAAGCAGGGCTTGGTCTGGTTCTTGGTTACAACCCCTACCCCAACACAGCCCCACAGCTCACGCAGGTCTTCCCTACTGTCTCAACTTAAAGGTCACTTTTGATGTTTCCCACATAGGAATTGGGCTACCCTGTTATACATTCCTATGGTCCCCTGCATTCTCCCTACCCCACCACTGTATTAATACCATGCCTCTAAATATGTCTTAGGCCTGTCTCCCCATCAGCCATCACTACTGCAGCCCCAGAGCCCAGTGCCAGCCATGCAGTAGGGCCTCGAGTGCCTAGCATACACTAGGTACTCAACAGATGATCACTGAGGGAACCGATGAGGAGGGGTCGTTCCATGTGTGCCATGAAGATGCAGAAGTCTGCCAGGAGAGCCAGTGCAGCAGAGGGGCAGTGTGTGCAGAGGCTGGAAAACTGCTAACTCCCTGGGAGAGCAAAGGTTTCTCAAACATAGTCCCTGCCCCCAGAGAGGGGCAACAGCCACTGCTGCAGTTGGGCTGGGAGGGAAAGGAGAGTAGTGGCAGCCTTCTCAGGAGGGTGAACTCATCTCACTGGGAAAAACGAACTTCAGGAAGGTGGTGCTTACTGCTGGGGGAAGGGGAAATTTCAAGAGAGAGATGCCAGAGGAGAGCATGGCAGGTGGAAAGAACTGCATGTGCAAAGGCCCCGAGGCAGGAAAGCACACCGCATCACGTGGGTCAGGAATATAGTGCAGGAATTCACAAGGGAAGAAGGTTGGGGTGGCTGGAGCCATTCATAAAGGACCAGAGTTCCAAGCTAAGGTGCTCCAGTGAAAGATCATGGCGGGGACATGGGAGGTCCCTGAGCAAGGGAGGGCCATGGATAAGGTTTTCAATGGACAAGTTGTTATGGGGCTAGAAGGATGGCCTGGAGGGGATAAGCAGATGGTCTAGGAGAGGGAAACTGAGGCTTCCCATCTTTCAGGCTCCTGAGACATGCTCAGTTTGCTTCCCATGGCCCTTCTGCCCTCCACGTACTGTCACTCCATGCAGCCTAGAATCCTGAGCCCCAGCCGCATCACCCCACCCCAGTCTCAAGACCTTGGCCAGACCTGGCCAGCCCCAGAAACTCACTGCTGAGAACTTCCTTCCCCGAGAGGAAAGAGGCTCCTGGGGTCCTGGATCCAATTAGGCCAGGTTTCCGCAGCCCTACAGGGTTGGGAAGGGCTGTTTTCATTGTGATGGCACGGCTGATCAGAG